CAACTGAATCTCTCGTTTATGCTATTTTTCGACTGAACATGCTACACAAAAGCCTCCTCATGTCTCAGTCGGTGTGATATTCGAGATATCGCAGTGTAGGTTCATACAGGGAAACTTCTCACGAGGTTGCTGAAAACTCTTTTACAGCCCACGACCAAAAGTGTTTGTTTTGTTTAATTTTACTGGGCAGAAGTTTAGATATCGAACAACTGCCGGGATTTTGGTAACTGACGGATCAGAAACACTTGTTTCAGGGATGTGTTGAGAGGGGTCTATTCGGTAGTGGCCCTAGGAAACCCTTAACATTGACCAGATTTCATACTTTTCGGAAGCCAAACTATAAAAAAAACACTATACCATGTACAGTTAGCTCAACAACACAACACCAGGGTAATAAACCTGATGGTGCTTAATAGAACTAAGCTGCTTCAAAAGCCATATCAAAGGCAGTTTTCCATTTCCGAAAACTCATGGATAATTCTGGGCTTAGCTCTGGCTACACAACAACAATGAAGCCATCGCGGCTTGAAAGAGAAAAATTCGTTTAAAAAAGTTAGATACTGTGAGGTATTACCCCACAGGCATGACATCGTGATGATAGACCACTCTGCCCTCGTTCGAGGACAAGAGCCGTTGTCAATTTTTAAAAAGTCAACACTTCCTTGATTCAATGCTCCTCATCCCGACTGAACAAAAATGGGTTTGTTGCTTAGTCTCTCAATAGAATAGTCTAATGACTGGATAGTGAAGGCATGATAGCGACTCTGTGAAGAATGGAACTGGAGTGCTGTTAACTATTAGAAACGTCTGCATCGACCTCACCGCCTCATCATTTTGGTTTGCTTATACAACATTTTTTACTATACTTACCCTTTCTGAGTGCTTATGGATTTTATTCACTCCATTTTTAGTCTTTGCGATGTGACTGTCGTTCGGTTTTCGGCTTAGTAAGTTGATACTCCCGTGTTCGACAACGGTTGTCCACTATTTAGGGCACTGAACACTAAGAATATGGGGGTATTCAAGAAAACGGTAAGGATGTGTTATGGTAGTATAGTGAGCTATGACACTCAGAAGCTACATGAAACCCAAGTACAACTGGGAAGACAACAGATATTAGGGAGATGGTCCCACTAGCGAGGTGATGACATCTAGCACAGTGAATATCATTGGTGAGAAGTCGACTGTTTTGCTGCTGTACTTTGTACGTCTTGTAAAACGGATTGAAGGCAATGAATGGGGTCCCCAACAAAGTTTCTTATTTGTGGTGGACTTTGCCTCCTTTCTGGAGTGAGATCATCAAAGATCTGAAATCCGACTTCTAGAGAATGTAACCGCATAGAAAATATTGATAGTTTCCTGTCTGAGATTGAAGTACAGAATATGGCTGAATATTATACTCATCTGCAACCTGCTTCATCAAGCAGAAAAACTGTTGACGAAGCACTTCTTGAGCGAGACTTGGTTTAACTCGAATTACTCCATTACACCTTCCCATTAAGAGTGATATCAACTCACCATGCGCTCAGATCAATGGAGAAACGACCAGTCACGCCAAACCGCTTGTCGTTATGCCAAGCCCATGTTTTCAAGTGACAAGATAACATAGATGTTGTATCTTGAGCTGGCCGAGCTATTGGTTACGCCTGCACTGAGCCTGCCAGACTACGCGATAGGGCGAAGACAGAGAACTGGGGACACGGCTGTATTGCCAGGACAAAACGTACAGAGCGTCTGCGTAAATATATAGGATAACTACTTGGCCAAATATGGTCATTCACTTGTTCGCTCTGTACAGCCAATGGTGGTGGTCCGGTCGTGAACATTCTCAGGCCCACTACGCTGGTCGTGTGTTGCTAAGCCGTGTTTCGTGGGAGCCGCCAACTCACCTACTTTCCGGAAGTGTCGAACCGATGGTGACATTGGGGATGCGTCACTCTCTGCACATGTGCTTTTTCTTCTGTCTGGGCGCGCCCTGACAATAGATGTCGTCATTCGCTTTGTGGAAATTCTCACGATGTGTTTTCTAGCAACCCTGTGAAAAGAGACCTATGACTCGTCAAGTACTTGCACAAAAGATTTGAACTAATTCTGAGAGAGGCCATAATTGGTGGCTAGCATGTTACACCCAACAATCTTCGAAAGTTCTCAGGAGGATTTATAATACGGTATTCTAACTCTGTAAGAAGCTCTCTTCTAGGATTTGTATTGAGGAAAATTATGGTTCACAGTTCTTATTAATATTTTTCGTGCGATTTGATGGAGCTGCCTAAGGAACGGCTAAAATAATGTTTCTTTCGCGGAACCTCTAGTGAGTTTCGCAAAAGTTAAATAGTACACCGAGTCTTTTGTATTCGACTGCACACATTTTTTCCTGAACTACAGTAGACTCCTCACAGTGGGAAAGGTATTCACAGTACGGAGAAGCAAATAGCCACTACTACGCACATTCATACAATCGTACCAAGATCAGGTTCGTCTCAAGAAAGGTCGTATGTTAAAACGAGTTTTGTTCATGGGACTTCCACTTATTCACTAATCTGTTTCGTCCAGTTGTCACTTTTGCAATGAGAAGTATCCAAGTTTGGTAGCGTTCGTTGCACTTTGCTGACTGTCATCCGTAACAATAACATTATAGGGATATTTTCATGGTGGTGTAACAGTGTATTTTCATACTCTGCTGATTGGTAGAGTCAGTAAATTCGTCCTGATAATGCCTGTTTGAAGACGTGATCTAACCTAATGAAACCAGAAGTACGCTCTGGTTAAGTAGGTGAGCTCAATCATAATTCAGCCAGAATCTCATCTATTTCTCTCATTCATCTGGTGAATAAACACGGATCTGTGCTTTCTGACCTGCCTGAACATCCTACAAAATTTAGCCCCTAATCGCACAGCTCAATGTAATCAGCCGCCGTCATTCGGTTTGCACGAAACGCATCCTTATGAACTTTTAAACCTCGGTCAAGGTTTCAATGCATGGCGAAATGAGGTCTGTCTAGTCGGGTTTGCGCATGTTGACGATAAGAGAGTTTGAACGAGACGGATTGATTACGTCACAGTTTCCTGAATTCAACTGGTTCGTCCGGTTGTTATAGCCAATAGGCTTCGAATTGGTCAGATGTGTGATGAACAAGCGCATGATTAATACCCATGCTCTCTCACACACAGACACGGTCTAGGGGGGTTGAATTTAAATCAGCCTTGTTGACTGTGCACACGTATTCTGTTTGCACACAATTCGTCTTCGACACGGTCGTCACGTCATGCGAACAGGAAATCTTGACATCTCCTGTGTTCTTCCTGTTGGCCTGAACCTCCAGTGCTAAGGACAAGGCTAACCAGACTAACGCTGGATTTCCTTGATGCTGTCGGAACCAATCACATTCCAGTGTGAAGAAACCAGTCCGTTCGTGACCCTAATGACTATCTGTCACGATCACGTGTCTCAGCTGATGACAAATCAGTTCGTGGTAGGCCGTCGAACATCTCACGGACTGAGGCAGTTGATGGAGGTTTGATATTGGATAAACGCGCGTGAGTTGACCATTTTTTCCTGCTCCCGTCACATTATCGAGGGTTTTTCTCAACTTATACCAATGTAAGACTAGTGTCTGAATTCCCTGAAACAACATGGCAGTTTTTCCTAAATCCCTAAACCCATTTATAGTGTAGAAGGCCATTAATTAAGTGTTTTGGATAACGTGTTTGTTCTTCTGGAACTGTCCTTAGACTGCTGAGATGTCCTGTTTTTCGTTACAGTGTCACATTATTTGGGATAAGCAGCTTCTTGAAAGCCTCAGATGGTGGTCACTGTTGGTTGGCAGTCGAGAGGGGAATAGCACAAATGTTTGACCCTAGGTTTTCTGACGACCTAGCTATCCTGTCTAGGTTTGGAGGAATGACTTAAATGAATTTCAGCTGAATCTCTTGTTTTGGTATTCTTCAACTGCACACAGATCAAATCATATTTAATTTGGTACGACATCACAGTGTGCTTTCTTGATAAAACTCTACTGGTAAGGTTGCTGAACGCTCTTTCACAGCCCACGACCGGTTTCAAGTTTTTTTGGCTCATCTGATGGGCGCGGTCTCCGAATTTTCCAAAAACACTGATTTTCCTTCTGAAAGACGGACTACTCATCCGAATCGGCCAGTTTCCCATCGGTCACCTAAGTTGACCTTTCCAGCGTACGGGAACACAACCACATGGTTGGGTTTGGGAATTCACAGTGGGCAACCCAAACAGGCAGCTGAGTAACGTCAATCGACGTTGCGAACATCCGTGTTTAACGGATGTTTAAAGATGCTACTTCAGAATTACCCTACGTTGTTAATTGTTGATAGAAGTCAAAAGTGCTCGACAGCTCTTTGGTCAAACTGAATTTTTTACTCACTGATCGTACAAAATCTGGAGGACAGACTCCCGTAATGTAAAGATTAGAAATGCACAATAGAACAAATGCTGCTTAATACTGGAGATATCTTTGTACATGGCTCTGTGCGACTCTTTTCCAAAGCAGCTTTTTCTCTTGTATAAAACCCGTAGAAGTTGCTACATCAAACTTTGCGAAGATCTCTCGTGTCATTGGGTCGAAACTTCCGTTTTGGGGCATACTAGCATAGTAGTGAATGATCATTACGGTCGTTTAGAAGAACTAATTCGTCATCCTGCTAGTACCAAAATACATCAGCAGACGCGAGCATGCAGAGCACCAATTGGTCTTCAGACCAACACTTTCACGTCCAGTCTCACAGAAAATAGCTCAATTTAGAGGTTTGATTACGTGGTACTATCACACTTGTTCAGATTAGGCAGCTTGGTAAATGAGTGCCATAACTGGAATGATTTGATTGTTCCACGACAAACTTTCGACGGAACTATTTAGTTTTTGTCTCAATATGGAAGGCGAGCAACACCAAAAATGTGGAAAAATCTACATTCGTGCACTATATGTATTGTATCTTTAGCGGAATTTGCATGATTAGTCCTGTCTTACGGTTTTCCGTTCTCTTTTCTTTCGGACTGCAACAGAAAGTATTCATCTGGAACAAACTACACTGAGCATAAACACCAAAAAACCGTTCAGAAATGTTTGGCAACTCTTCAATCTCTGCCACATCATCTCTGTCCTCACTGACTTCGGAGAGTTCAGATGTTATGTTCTCCTCCCAGTCGAATACGGCAGCTGCAGGTAACAGGAGCGAGCAAAGATTGACTTCCGAATTACGATTTGGTCGATGGATTGAACGGGAAACTTCTTCGGTTGATGCAGATGACACCATTGATAATGGTTACGATGTCCCAATGGGTGGTTTCAGATGGGACGCTTCGGGACAAGAGTTGTCAGCTTCACATTTTCCCGTAGATCCAGCAGATTTTGATCTTATCGAAGTCCCAACTGACAACGAGTCACCGCCATATTCTTCACTTGATCCCATACGGACTATCCAAAATTCCCAACCAAATTCATATACAAACTGCCTCATACCCAATACACCATCCGGCCATCCTCCCCTGTCTGTTTCCAGGTCGAACGTTAACTTCGACTCCTTTTTATCTGGTCCTCGTTGCCCTTCCGCTGAAAGCGAAACAACACCAACCAAGCCTTATTCGGGTACTAATCCAGCACATGCAGCCTTGCCTTCCTTAATCCGAAATTCCTGTGGTATTCCACGAGAAACTGCACAGTCCCATTTACTCAACCGATATCCTGTTCATCCCACTCCACCCCGCAATCATTCCGGATTCAACTTGGAGGAGCACAGTAACGACACAGATCAGCCCACTCTTCTTGAGTTGACCGGCGATGTACGGACAGTAGACATGCAGGCACTGGATCAATTACCGATTAGAACCTGGTTACTCTGAGTCCAGTAGGATTTCACTCCGATACGCCTCTGTGACGAATGACTTCGATAGACCAGTGGATTTTTTCCCTAGAAGAATGCTTTTTTATTGTTACTGATCTCACGCTAACTTGTAAAATAGAAAATATTGAATCAGTCGGTTATACAGAAATATTCCTTTATGCTTTTTGTTGTCTACTCAGAGTAACTTACATTTCCGCATTTATTTATTCAGTTACTAGGTGTATGAAATGATAATCTGTTAATCAGTCAGTTTTTGCGACTTGTAGAATCCACAATCGATATTTTTTCATACAGATTCAAATGTAGCTATCCGTGTGAACTTGTAAGAGAAAATTTTGCACCGTTTTTCACGTAGATGCCTTGCCTTTCCTTCACTCATTCTGAACGGAAGGGTGTACATGTAATCGTCTCCTTGTCGGAAATAACCGATGAATTAATAAAGTAATTAACAGAGACGCGACGTCTTTAATTTCCTGTTGATGGCGTATGGAGATGCATCTTATGAGCGCTTGTAAGGTATTCTGTATAATCAACGCGCATCGACCGACACGATTTAACTATATGTCGGTCATTATGTATCATTCTTCAGCATCATGCTGCTTTTCAAGTTCCAGTTGTTTCTTCCGTTAATTCTGATGCATAGCCAGTGTGGTCTTTTTTCGGCTTGACTGCACAGAATCAGCGTTTATTCCTCACATTCTGGAGCGATTCGCTATTGTGAGTATCCGGATAATTAGAACACTGATCTCACGCAAAACTGATGCCAGTAAACCCTACTATACCAGCCACCAGTATTACTCAGCTGAGTGCGGAATTGCAGCTGGTCTAGGCAACCGATCCTAATGGCTCAGCCAAACAGCACGGGAGACGATATCTGATCGCCGATTGGTGATTTGCTCACATTCCTTAGAAGGCAGCTTAGGCAGTTGCGGGATGAACCCACGATACGGGTAAACAATTGAAGTATGGCAAGTGTTGTGTCGTCACTCCGTCAGATCTTTCGAAAGTTGCATCGCAACCTAATGCCAATTATGACATCATTTTCCAGACTCACTGAGTTACATTGCTTGCAAAGATTTGGGTTACAGTAGTTTTAATGAAGTCTTGCGTTGAAAAAAAAACAGTCTGATTTAACAACGCCTTGTCATAAGGGGGGTGAAATTTTCGTAAACTGCTGTCAAGGTTGAATGCTGGGCGGGTAGGTCTGTAAGATTTTGTCAGTGAAGCTCCCTTTAGATGTATGTAATCGTTTAGGAGATAGTTCCAGTTTGAAATCGAAAGACTTTTTCCCATTTGTTAGTCGTCTTCTTGAGAAATTAGTCAAATTCAGCCTACAAGATCTGTTCCGATTTGATATGGGATATAAACCTTGGGGCCAGTTGAAGACATGTTCTAAAAACGGTTCATTATATATTACGCTTGGCTAGGACTTATCTGTGGATGTATCGCACCGTTGGGTGTTAGTTGCCTCATTTGGCCGCAACACAACGCGGTCATGGACCATATTGGCGCTTTTGGCGAATAGATAATAAAGGAATTAATAAGTTCGGACCGTTCGATTAAGTAGACATTTAAAGCAGTGTAATGGTCTTCCGTCCAAGGTATGCTCAGTTGGCAATGTGCCAGAACATTGGGAGGTCGGTGTGCCAGTTGTTCGTTCACAAGATCGCTGACCTGATTGCCGAGTTTGACAAATTTCTCGTGAACGCTCGGTTAAAGGGGAGCTTGGTGGAGTGGTTTGTCTGTTATACACAGCTTCTCATGTGTCAGGGCATATTTACACTGAACGGATATACGAAAGATGTTCGACCCCCATCTACCAATTTACAGTACAGTTGCTTGATTCCAGTTTGGTGGAACTTCGGGACGTTCAAAATAGACTCTATAACTGGACGAATATGAGGTCTTCCCAAGTACTTTCTCCTTTGCACACTATTTTGGTCTTGACGGGAGACTTAACTGTCCAAGGCCGCCTCATGTTTCATTTGCTACGATGTATATCGCAGTATGCCGTCTAAATGTAGTACACTATCAACAGGGTCATGCGGCACATTTAGATGAATAGCAGCATCATGAACGAGAGATTCAGCTGAACTGAATTAGGTCGGTTGCAAGAATAAATACACAGTCAACTTTGTGAGGCATTTGCTGAATAATGGGTGGGTACTTTTCGAACGTTTCCAAACAGCAACCAAATGAGGAAACTTGTTTGTTTCTGGCCTGTTATTTGAACCACTTTAATTGAAGTGGACTGGTTGAACTCGGGATGTGTTAATCAAAACGCGATCGGTGGTTCGGTTCAGCCTAAATTTGACTTGAAACCACTAAGCGAGGCAAAAGAAATTTGCCTACAGCCCACCACACGTCGGGACATGGGTATGAACGGTGTGACATACTTTGTGCAACATAATGGCTATGGCGTTTGTAAGACAGCCAGATACTCAGAGCGTCAGTACAAAACATAACCCCTGTTGGGCCCAAAGACATAACGAGGAAGTATCCAGGACACTGAATCGGAATACTGATTACAAGATTTAACGGACCTATCTCGATACAAGTTGTCTACCACGACGTGACTGCAACGGGACTTCATCAGAAGGGTCATGTAAAATACGGTTTTGGATAACAGCTCACTTCACCACAGGAGATTTTAGCCCGATTTTGTGTTCATTCCAGTGCCCCCAGAGTGGACGCATCTGTGGAAGCCGACCTGTCGATTTGTTCTACTACTTACAAATTGCAAGTAGTTAAGAGACAAGCATTTGCTAGCCTATGCCGTGCCGAGAGCGGTGGACAGAGACAATTGGCGAATGCCGTGTTTGTGCAGACGAGTAAGGTAAAGCGAATCTTTGTGTATCCTAGGTTGAATTTTAACCGTGTACAGGTACGCAAGTAACTCATCTTCCTACTATTACCGGGAAGGTGGATATTTCCATATTTCTTCAAACCAGCATTGGTTACGTAGGTCTGATTGCTGGTTACTGGTTGCTCGAACAGGTGGCAGTGTGCTGCTCATAGTTAATAGTTCGTCTTTCTGTAACAACCCATAAAGCGATAAGAATTCACCGTCTGTCCAAACCATCAAAATGTTTGGATATTTCCACCTTGGATAGTTCTGCAACACATCACCGTGCGCCCTGCGTTAATATTAGTGGTTCACTCGATGTAGCTTACTACTTCTCAACTGATGAGGTTTCCTTTCTTTTCCTATTTGAAGAAAATGTCACGGCGACACCAGCTTCCGTGGAACCAGTTCCGGGATGCTGTGACCCGTGCTCCTACATCTAGTTCCTGAATATGCCAAGCTGTTGGCTTGATAGATGAGTGACATTCGACGGGCAAGATGTCAAAGAGCTCGCGTATTGCTGATTTTAACTGCCGAAGAGAGCCTTTATAAAAGTAACCTGTGTGTACATGCTCATCAGCTCAACAGAATACAGCATTTCTTGAGTCCTACTTTCCGGATAACCCTAACTGCATTTTCGTCTACTTGCAACTACCTAGAAAACAAAAGACATTTGTCAAGAAGGTCAGATTCCCGAAAATAATCCCAGACTGTCCAAAATCTATCGAGACATTCAAACACAGCGAAAACTGCAGCAGAAAGGCCGTCGACAATTACGGCCAGAACAGCCAGCTTCCGATTCGACGAGTGGTCAACAAGTTCAGCGACGGCTGACGATGATGAATGCTCAGCCAAAACCAATCAGACAGTCCGGATTCAAGGTCGAAATTGCGCGATGCCCTTTGTAATTATTACAATAAGACTGTCATCTTCCTTCCGGCACTAAGGTACTGGTTCGAGGACAGCAGTTGGTTACGACAATATTCGGTCTGCTGTTTATCAGGCTGCCGAAGAACCACTCTCCGTTAGTTGCGGTAAGCAGTTTTTGTGATTCAAGAGGAAAAACATCAAACTCCGTCTCAACCGGTTCACAATGATTTGTGTGGCTAGCCTTTGGAATAATTAGCTTGAACAATTCACCCCTGCGGCGATGATAAGTGTGTTGAATAAAAATAAAACTCTTTGCTACATTGACGCTTATGGTTCCGTGATTGAAATGCATCAATTTGATTATTCCATTAATGTACCGACTCCATCGCTTAGTTCGCCATGGATTGACGATGCCTGTTGTAGTATGCAACTTCTAATGGTGCAGCCGCTTAGATGAAAGATACGGCCAAGAATAGGGAAAGCACGGCACTGTGGTAAAATTTGAAAGACCTTCCTTGCTTTCCTGATGGGTCGCACCGGTATCGCAGTTGTGATGACCAGTCGTATTCCATTGTGCTTAGGCAGGCTGATAATATGCAAAAAGCCTGTGCACGTTCGTCCGTCAATCTTATTCTCTCGGGTTTACATCAACACCAAGGGAACACGATATCTGGGTCCGCGCAAGCCGCCTGGGGCTGTCGAACTATGTGGAGGCATCGAGTGCTCCGAACATTCATTCGTTCCAATTGGCTGGCTATTAGGAAACGTGTTGGCCAACTAAAATTCATCCGTTGGAGCACTCTACTTGGAGGAATGGGATTCGATGGACTCATACTCTTATTGATTCAGACTCGTTTGACCTCACCTGCTAGAACGAGTGTCATACAGCTAACCTACCAATACATGGCGACCGTGTGGATGGACGTGATAAGTTTTACCGCAATGGAAATACTGTGATCGGAATGAGCCACCTCATGGATTGTTTGTGGACATCATCAGAGACCGACTCAATCAACATAGAAACATGGAAGCTTGGTGGTCCAAACAAATGTATCAACTTCATCAAAGGCTTTCAGACTGGGATGAAACCTTGGATGAAGACCAGTGGAACTACCTCGATCGATTTCGCAATGGATACCGGAATGAAGCAGGACTATGTTCATGACTTAGCCATTTACAGTCTCTATCTAACAACCATTTGCGCAGAGGCGCTCTACCATTGCGACCTTGGTGTACCAATTCAATACCGACCGGAGGCTTATGTGCTAAATTCGAAGCATTTGCTGATGAAAACACGGTTGATTTCAACGTCCGCATGCAGCTTTTTGCATATAGAAATGATTTCGGGCGTCAATAATAGTGTTCGGATGCTTTGGTTGATGAAAAAAAACCGGTCGACCTATCTTCCATTCAAAGTCCAAGAAACCGAATAAGTAAGAGGAAAGCTGTCAAAATACAGTGAAACCGAAGTGAAAGCTAGAGCTACTGTTTGCCACTTGCAACTGACGATGATGCTACACTGACTGTTGACACGTAGTGAGTGGTCCGGCAGTTTCCAAAGCATCACAGCAAAATAGCTTACACCGTTTGCAATTCACTAGCATTACGGCCGCAACTAACCTGAGACACGCCCTAAATTCACAAAAAAACTTGGTCTTCTTGCAAACTTTCATTCACCTAATCGAAGGTGGACAGCCACGTGTCGTCCCATTGATTCATCTGGCTAACTGTTTTCGGACGCATATACCGGATGAACAGTGTTCATTTGACAGAATCTAGCACAGGGTTCACTTGCCTGGTTGGGTGTTCACAGGTGATTTTACCGCCATAACTAAGTAGCTGGGGGACACGAATCCAAAAGATCACATCTGAATCACAACTTGAGATCACTGATTTCAATTGAGAAACGGAATATGGGAAGAACCATCCTGTAGTTTGAGTGTTCCAAACTTAAGCTAAGCGCTTCATTTTGGCATTTCGAAATAACCAATCATCGATTCAAACCAACCCCAGACGATGCAAATTTTCATGTTTGACACAGTTCTTTTACCTTTCTGACGCAATTGTGCCGGTGAGTCCACACCAAAGGGAACAGGAACGGGTTTCGGACAAGCCAGTGACATCGCCAAGGGTGAACAGATTCGCCTGTTCAGACCAGGTAATACCGGTGCGCCCGATTTGTGCTGATGGAGCGCACCTGACACGCTTCCAGAGTTTGAACCATGACAGTTAGGGGCATGCACTATTGATAGGCTCAAATAAGCTCAGTGTTTCCCACGTGCAGAATGGACCAACCAGAACAATGGCACCCGAACAGAAAGAGGACTGTTCAAACGGAAATGATTTGAAAGTGAATTCCACAAATCTCACAAACGCCTGAAAGTGACAGAGATTTTGTGACAAAACACCCATCGATTAAGCCCTTCTTCACTTCCAAAAATTAGTCAGTTGTGCCGCGATATCGAAAGCTGTCTGACAGGTAAGAATGCGCTGCAAATATGTATAAGAGAGATCTGTTAGTGGGCAGATGGCAGATGTACGGCTTTTCGTTTCACTTCTTTCAGCAACCAATTGATATTCTCGCCGGTTGTAACTGTTATATTTGAGCATAGTGCATGGACAAATAGGAGAATCAAGAGTTCACGATTCGACAGAGTCAAACATCGCCCTACTTCTAATCGACCGCTTTTGTAGAAACATAACTCACGTCATTCAATACAATGTATTGCCAATTCGGAGGCAAGCATGGGTATAGAAATGACTATACAAACCATAATAAGGCGAGGGAAAGCTATGGACGGTTATTGAGATGCGGCCCGAACCGAACCGTCGATTGAAGTTGCCGTCACCGTGCCATCTTCCAGATTCTGTTGTTGTGACTGGCGGATCTTGCGCCACGAGTAGGCTTCTGTCTTAGCCTGTATTGTATCCCAATGCTTCCCGAAGGCATACTTATAATAGGGCACATAGTACGATAGCCGTGGCAAATCACTGAATCTGAACTGAAGACAAGAGGAAAAAAGGGAGAAAGGAGGGAAATAATGTACAGACGGTTGGTGTTCACAAAAGCAGTATTTCCCAGGTTTTGGGAGATATGGAGATATGGATAAAAAAGAGTTTATCTTCGACGGTTACAGAAAAGGGTGATGGCACTCGACTACCTAGAAGTCCAATTTGATTAATGGATCAATCATTTTCCTAGTGAAGCAAATCTGTTCGACATAGACTTCAATGCACTGACCACTTGTCCTATGTGAATTGCGTCCGCAGATAAACTGAAGCGAGTTCATGCAATATAACCTTAGCTGACAAAACGGCTGCTCAAGAGCCGATTGGGCCAAAAAGCGCCGGTTGCACAGAAGTTTGAAACCCATCGGTCAACAAAAGGTCGCGTACTGCCAATTACACCACTGATTCATCGTCCTTTCAAGACGTGACAAATGGATTAAAATTCGGTTTGTAGTAAAATATATTGCGCACTCTTGTGGTCCTCGATCAGGTACACAACTACTGGACTGCGGAACACAATTCATCCAGATGATCAGATTCATGGGAAGAGAGTTTGATAACGCCGGATCTAGAACTGTACTGGTGGTGGTGGTACTACTTTCTGGTCACGGTTCGACAGTGACGGAATGATGGAAGATGAACATGCTGTTGACCAATGCAGTGAACAGCGAGCTCAAGCGGAAAAGTGAGTTTATGGATAATGATACATGGAGGGCGAACGAATTTAGGAAGGGTCAGATGGAATCAGCCCGTACCGAAAACCCTTTACACGTAACGCATCGATGGCTCCAGAAAACGACTGACCAGGCGGAACGAACACGAATTTAATTGTACCAATTTTTTCGCTACTTACAAAGTGCTAGTAACATGATCGTAAAATGCTTGTGGTGAGACTGATGGAGTCGGCACCGACGTCACGCCGGTAGTTCTCTTCCAGTCCTGGGACGACTATTCTGTTAAATTCACAGTTTATGAGAAGAACGCATATCCTTGGATGTGTGACGTATTGATTTAAGAACATACGACATTCGACAAATCCCGCAACCACATAAGTAACTTAGCGAAATAGTCCAGCCTTGTATTTTCCCCTTAGCACATGACCGAAGACCATTCACCTCAGCAGATACACTACAAAATGAAGAAAATATTTCCCCTCCTCTACTTATTCTGCACAAATAATGCGAATTCGGTTGGATTCCGTCACCGATGGAGCTCTAAAGAACATCCAAACAACGAAGTAAAACGTGAATGAGAAACCTGTGTTGAATTTGAAGGTTTTTGTGAGGAATTAGGAAATATTGTACAACCGGCGTGCTATTTTGGAGGGACGACTGAATCCAAGGTCTTGAAACAACCCTCTTTGAGATCCTGAGTTTCTTTGCGCGTCGAGAACCATTGGTATAGCACGGTTTAGAGATCCAATGTGTTCTTCGAGTGAGAACCAGTGATAAACCCAAAATAAATCGATACGACCTGCAAATATACTGGGCTGTATTTGACAGCAAGCGCTAAGCGTATGTTGTCCCGGTAGCGGTTACGCGCTGACTTCGCACGTAATACGTCCAGTTCTAATCCAAAGATATGTATGGTCGATGAGTGAGTGAGATAACCCAACAATGGTTTCAACCTGCACGTCGACCTGTGTTAAAAAACTGAAAGGTGGTCTGTAACTGTTTGAATTCTATTGGGATTCAGCAACAGTGAGTAGTCATCGAGTCTCCAGGACGACGAAATTGCAACCTTCCGGATGAGAGTCTGGAAGCCCGGATAAAGATAGATTATCATCAGTGTAATCAGATGGGATAGATTACCATTAAACTTGCAATGCGAAGAAATCTCCTCCCTGACAAGCGGAAGCCTGGAGGTATCTACACAATAAATTTGGAGTTTCATAAAAAAAACACCAATGAAAATGATGAACGTGGTTGTAGCGTACCTTCAAGAAGTCGAATGCAACGGCGACGTTGGGTCGAAATTCGTCAATCGACGGCAATCGTCCATAACGTTGACTGAAGTGAGTGAGCATGATCGCCGCAGCTTCCATTTCCTTGCCTATTCGAATGGCAGTACTAAAGGTGCTGGAATCGTGAGTGATAAAGATCAAAAGTTGAAAATTTGCAATATGTGGAAGCATCATTCTCCACAAGAGTTGAATGAAGCAAGTATCCACTGATGTATATACCGCCAACTCTGTGCCCTTACGAAGATCGATTACACGCTGTCCATCCAACTGGGTATAATTGGTGTAAAGGATAACGCAACAAGCCATTGTAATTTGAAACAAGAATCCATCAATTTGAGTCACGCGATTGCACTGCGCTGTCAAGCGCACGTTAACATGCTGCCACATTAAATAAACCATAAAATGGGTCTAAAAATATACTAACTAGTATTTAGTGACGGATGGTTTCGACTTCCCGGGGCTAGATCACAAACAAGAACAGTCATCATCCCACATTTAAACTAAGGATTAACAGGTGGAATACTTGACACAAACCGCCCAAGAATATCAGCAGCCTCGGCACGTGATTTGAGAAGCATTAGTGATTAGTTCGGTGTGTTAGGAATGGCAAGATAAAACTAGCAGATTGGTTTTGTGACACGATCTTAGTACACCTGAAAATCTGATAGGTCAGGATGAATAAAACCCCGAAGGGATTACTGGATTCAACCGTCGACCGGTTGTCGAAGGGAATCTCAGGACTTAGATGACAAATAAATAATTAGCACTCAAGGCCTATCGGATCACTGGTTTGGCGAAGGTAGCCGAAGTTTCGATAATTACAGGCTCTGATGTGCAGCCTGAATGAGATACCAGAACTGAGATAGCCCCAAATTGCCAAAGACTAAACAGAAGCGATCACAACCTGAGTTTGATTCGAACCACAGGCCTTGACTGCTTGAACGTTGGGCTACCTCGGGCGCTTGTGCTTCACAGTCATAGTTTACTTCAGACCCTTTTGGTTTGGTGCCTTGATACCATAACCTTAAATGAAAATTTGTGGTTGGGGAGTAGAAAAACCCATAGTGGAAAACAGAGTTGGACCGGTCGATATGAAGATATGCTAGAAGCTCGTTGTTACGTTTAGGGAATACAATATGGAAGTACAATATAGCAGTAGAGTATAGTATGGCACAAGAAAGTCGCAGTATGCCTCCACACGAACTCCGCACCCACACTCCCAAGGGCACAGCACATGGTCAAACGTCTAGGTGACTGATCTGGGGAACAGAATAGTTGTTTAGGCCTGTCGGAATCGAAATGCAGTGGCAACAAATAAAAAAAAATATCCAGTGTATCTGCAAACATTCCTTCCAGAAACTGCATCAGCGACACCTCTGTTAATTTTCTACAACAGTCAAAACGAGTCGCCTTTGAAGTCGTCTACCAATGAATAGTCCGACTGTTCTAAAGTTTTGAGCTGTTAAATACTATTGGTCACCTAAATCAAGTTATTCTGGTGCTGCGGATGAACGATAGGTTTTTTCTGGACATTTTTGAATGTTTGAACACATTCTCATTTGAACGAGAATTACGAATGAAGGTAAAAACCTATTAATCTAGATTTCAAATGACGAGAATAAGTGAAAAGGATGAAGAACGGACCTAATTCTTTGACTCGATCTAATAAAAACGAACGAAAAGAATTAACCACCTAGTGTTAGTTGTCTCCGCACTGTAACGATCTGTCGATTCGACATGGATGCCCACAAGGTAGACACACGCGAATGAACTTCTCACTGAAGTCAAAAGGCGGGGAATCGTGGAAACTTTCATCCGGGCGAGAATGCCACACAGACACCGTCCAAGTAGGGTAACGTAATACAGATAAATTTACGAGAAATACACTCATCTGCAAATCAATTTGGTTTTGACGGGAGACTCAATTGAATCTCTCGTTTATGACGTTCTCCAGATGAAGGTGCTGCACACCGGCCGCCTCACGATTGCGTTGGCACGATATTCGAGATATCGGTGCATATATTCATAAGGGGGAACCTCCCCACCAGTTTGCTGAAATCTATTTCACAGCTCACGACCGGTTTTGCCCTTCCATTTCGGGCTCATCAGGAATTCGCACTCCCCGAGTTTCCGTCAACCCGATCATCTAATTGAAACAAAATTTGCACTGTTTTCGAGAAACACACTCAACTGCAAGTCTATTTGATTTACACGGCAGACCCAAATGAAACTCTCGTTTATGATGTTCTCTAGATGAATGTGCTGCACACAGGCCGCCTCATGATTCCGTTGTCACGATATTCGAGATATCGAAGTATATTTTCATAAAGGATGCTACGCCCAACATTGGTGAATTCTCTTTGACATCCCACGACCTGTTTCGCCCATCCACCTCGGGCTCGTCAGGTAGGCGCTGTCCCCTAGTTTCCGTCAACGTTATCATCTACTTGAACCCAAATTGCACTGTTTTCGAGAAATACACTCATCTACAAATCAATTTGGTTTTCACGGGAGACTCAATTGAATCTCTCGTTTATGACGTTCTCCAGCTGAATGTGCTGCACAAAGGCCGCCTCATGTTTCAGTTGGTACGATATTCGAGATATCGCAGTATATTTTCATAAAGCAAATTTAGTCTTTCTTTTAACAGCTAGCTGAAACATGGTTTTCCAGTGGTCGGAGTTATTAAGAACGACTAAAGTCAACCGAGATTGTGTCAACGACATTAATAGTTCAACATATTCTCCCTAATCTCCTCATCTGTTCGCCTGCTGGCTCTCAAGAACATTATCTGCCCTCGACTACTTTCTCCAGTGACTACAACGCTAACTTTTTATTCCCGTCCTCTAAAGCCCTAGGAGTCGCAAAAGTTTTCCAGGGTTCGGGAAAAAGCCCGGTTTCGGTGGTATCAAACCTAAAGCAGATATGAATTTAGAGGGCAGATCAGACAGGGTAAAATAAGGATGAGAAGGTCTCCAGATCGCCTCCAGCCTATACGGGGGAAAACCGAACAACTGCTAATGAAAATAAACATGTCGCATGTAGCGAGGGGATGGAAGGGGCTAGCGGGCGCAAAATCACTGTTCGAAATGCATGTGGATTACGCTACGGACTGAAACAATAGGAATGAAAAGGAATCGCATGCTGAATAGAGCGACTCAGCCATGTGGTCAAATGATTTGCCACCTGACTATCCACATCAGATCTCGGTTAGGCCAAATCCCCTCCATGGAAGGGCTCAGTTAAAGCGGAAACTGCTCTAACTGCTGTTCGTCAGCCCTGCTGCTCGAGCTGTCCACTTCGATTACGAACAGCCAAGTACCAACACAACTTATATCCCCGCCGATCCCTCTTCTAACCACAGGACTGTGAACCCTCGAACAGAACCGAAATGAGACCTGTAAAATACATCATACTTCCCTGGACTCTGCACTGTTAGAAGCACCTTTCATGGAAAACTGTTGAAATTTTTTCGGGTGACAGAGCGCACCACATTTTTGTCCGGGTCGAAAACTTGAAACTCAAGTGGGAAGATCTTGCAATCACCGTCTTGGCGTTAAATTTGATGTAGGTGCTCCTACAGATGGGGGCGACGACTTCATTTGTTCATCAATAGTTACCGCAGAACAAGCATGTACACTGAGTGACCTGGTGCCGCCCGAACTCTAACCATTCGAGTACTCAGATCAATCTCATAGGAAAAGACCATAGATGGCGTGATGGCGATTGAGATTACTAGCGGCTCAGATTGCACAGATTACAGCTATTTTTCAGTAATTGAGTAAGTTGTTTGAAAACATGTCACCATCAAGTGGTATGATTTCATCATGAAAGCACTTTAATTTACTTCCCAAGGTTGGCGAACGGACTCACATCCAGTGGCCGTGATTCTGAAGTTAAGACAATCGCTTCTCCTTGGACGCGTGTGGGCTCATTTTATACCTGTGTTGAGGCTAGCTCCCTTAGAGCTCCGGATGCGCTGAATGCGTTAGTTCGTTTACATCCATTCACCATTTGCTGAAGCAGGGGTCTCGACTGAACATGAAAGCTGAATGTCACTGAGCGGAAGATGTTGCGCCACAACGTAGCTCATCGAAAGGCGGGATAGATATTTTCAGGCTATTCCACATACTATGACCCCAACTACTACGCAACCTCAAGCTCTGTACCTCAGTTAAGGCGGTTGCATTAAATTCCGCCGAGGACAACGTAAAAAGGCTCCTTTTTTAACGCCTATTCAACGAAAGATACAGTGATAAACCGGAATACGAACAGTCTGCGAAGATTTTGCTTACTGACTTTACCGGTGAATTCCTTATTAGCCATAAGGAGAAAAGGAAGACACACAGAAAGTAAAAATACAAAGTGAAGTTTATCGCAAATGCGGTTCACATACCTGTGTTTTGTTTTATCCGCTAAGTCTTGATGTTCATCAATCATTGTGGCTTCATGAATGAGCAGATCACACGGACGACCTGCCTCGGCTAATTCAGGACATTCGGGTGTGTCACCCGAATAGACGAGACTCCATTTAAGAGGATGGTGTTGTTTTTCAGTATCAGTATGCTCATTGTCCACAGAACCAAAGCGTTGGCCACAAAGTTTGTAAGCCCACGAAGTATTAGTGTGGGGAACTTTGATTGGATAGACCTGGATGGAAGGCGACATGTGGACGAGTGAGATAACTTCTCAATTATGAATCAAAATCGGTCAAAGTTTTGTCGATTGGTCAGTAGGTCCCGAAATAAGTCTCGAGCGTGCTAGTACATATTCATCAACAAGTAACAACAAAACAAGGAAACCGAACCGATCACCTGCTACAGCATCGTCTACGATGAAGAGATCGGTTACTTTGCTGATTAATTAAGAGAACGGAAAGAACACCCTAGTGCTTTTGAGGCACAAAACAACACGATGGAGTACGAGTTCGGACTTCAAAGAAGACACGGAATACCCTGGCCTCACCGTTTGTATATTAGCAGGCACGATCGTTGATTAATACAGTCTGGAGTCTGCCAGGGATGTATACAGAAAACATGGATCTAATTCCGTGATTACTTCTTTCGATGACAGTTTAAACAAAAGCCTAAGTTCATAGGTGCACCTCGACTTGCTATAGAAGATCCTAAACATATAACGTTTTAGAAACGTTATCTAATCAGCTTGAAACAGTAGTGCCAACTTCAACAGCGACGTTAGCAAATTAAGTGGTCATCCCAGTAGTGTCCATTTTGAAAAAAATCAAGGGAAATCCGAGACTTAGTGACCATAACACTGACAAACGAGAGTAGCGAAGCATGAAGACGGGCTAAAGACGACTATACAGCCAAGAATACACCTGTGAGTCAGTGACCATTCTTAACTTCATTAAATGGACATAGAAGAGAATGGGGTTTGAAATATCCCGGACACGAAACAAAGTAAACATAACACAGACGGATATTCATTGAGTGTTTGAACTATCATCTAAAACAGCAGCACTTCCGATGTAACTTATGACAACGAGCTCCAGTTTATTTCTCCTCATTGGGGAGATTGAACTCAAATCAATGGTTCTGGTGTGACGGACCACCAGTATTCTGACCAAAACTACCATGAATTAGAAGTAGTATTAATTACTGAGAGAAATTTTCAATTGCCGATTTGCTGAAGCAGATGACCTGCTCCTTCTAACAAAAGTCAGGGATGGCGATTTATCAGCGTGGGACTATGATGGGGTTAGGCCACACATACGCCTGGATACCTCATTTACTACTTCGAGATGTGTGACTTTCCTCCAAAAAAGACATATTACAACGACAAAATTAACAGTAAACAAACGTTCAGCTGTAACAACCCTTCGGTGCCTAGCTGCCATGTCACCCAAAGGAAGCACGAAGACAGAGATACTGCCAGGTTACCCAGGCGCAGACAGGAGCAACCTAGATGCCGAGGTTGGGTTCGAACCCAAAACCTCCCGGTCAGTAAGTGCACGCCTTAACCAACTTGTTAGCTAGCCACTAGACACTTTAGATGTGACTCAGAACTGTCGCCAGGTAACAAGTTGCAGTTAGCGCACACTGTGGATTTCATCTAGTAAGAAGTTCTTATTTGATTTGAAAACTATGAACCATCAATTAGGGATGTGGATCATATTTTAAATTGTCCTGCGTTCTGATCTGGCAGGATTTGAACAGAATTGGGGACATACGCGCCTCTGTACAAACCACAGATGACATTGCCTATCCACTGTGACGGCACAGATTACAAATACCAAAGAATGGCATTTTTACGAACGGAGAGACTTTTGAGGCACCGATTACTGTATAGAGGGAGAAACTGGTTTTAAGCCAAAAGATCCGGTGGTGAAACTGATAGCTCACAGAAGGCTGTTCAACCGTATTATGCGCTTCAGATAAAGGGCTGTCAGACAAACCATCTAGTGCATAGTTTGTCGGAAAATGAGGCTCCCGTGCTGAAGAAGCGCGACTACAATAAGTGAGTCACATCTAAGTCAGTGAGTTCAACAAACTAGTTAAGTCTACTCTCCCAGATAGCAACCGCTAATTCGTTCATATAGCTGTCTTCGAATTTGGTCTCAGTCAGAGCAGATCAGTGGCATGAAAACTGAACAAAGGAAACCCCAGTAGAATTCAGTCGCATGTGCTTGGGTGACGAGGGGGCAACACGGACCACACTTAAGTATCCGGAGGCTCACACAACCCAAAAGGCAGTGTATTTTGGTGCCTAAACTTTCAAAAGCTGCTCCAGTCTCGCGAAACGAACCAGGTTATCAAAAACCTAGTTGAAACGAGTTCTCATCTCCGGGTATCTTGAATGACAATCTCCAAGGTCCAAATACATATATACTTTGACGTGGCGCTGACTTTAAAAGAATGCATCTGCTAAAAAATTGAAGCACTCTCTCAGGACCAACCTCTAGTTTCAAACTTTCAAGTAGAGAGGTCCATTCAGCCACATAGGGGCCGTCTGCTCGGAGTGGACAAATGGGCGGCCTTAAATCGGGCGGGCAAGACTCGTACAGACGGGGAATAATGTACAGGGAGATCGTAGGGCCGTGTGGGAAAAGTTCGCCGAAACTAGTCATCCAACGAGCGAACGCCGCAGGGGCCAGAATTGGTAAAGTGGGGCGACCAACGTCTAGGTTAGGGAGATTCTCCGACTGGAGGGCACGAGATCGAGCCAGAGCAACTGTGAAGACACCCTGCAATGGGACAAAACGTTGTTAGTGACTATCAGTTGTTCGCTGCATAAGATGATGAATGCGGTTAACAAGAGTCAACATGGTGGCGAAATAAAGTGGTGGCCCAACTGGATTCCAGTTTATATCATTCTTCAATTAAGTTTGCTGCAGAAATGCCGCCTCATGTTTCGTCTAGCATGATACTCAAGATACCGGAGCATGGTAAAATATAGTAGAAGGCTCTTCGACAGGCCACTACCTGAGAAACTCCAAGAACGGCGAAACCGACAATGAGCTGTCAAAGAGGGTTCAGAAGCACTATAGGCAGTTTTACACTAAAAAGGGCTACTTGGTCTAGAAAGGGCACTGTGATGAAAAAATAGACGAAGCCAGCCTGTGTAGAACTACGAATTCGTCAACTCGAGGAAATTTTAATAAGAGTTTTTGATCAGATCAGTGTATATCGCATTTACGTTGCCTTTCATCTGGCGACGTGTAGAAAACCGCAAAGATGGGCGAAATTAGGTCACAGGCACGTCTGAACATCTATCGCCGAAGCCATTTACATCTAGTTTTCGAATGCTTCACCCTCAATCAGAGAGATCTTCGTCAGCCTGTTCGGGAGTTTCGCTACTTATTAGAAGAGCAATATGGACGGCAATGCATCGTAGAATACCCATCACAGATCAGCTTTGAAGATTCGGAGATCATATGAAGAATGACCTGTAGTACGCTACGAAAGACGAATGTCATGCCGGCAACCAAGCATGATCAACAAGGCTGAAGGCTGGTGCACCAGCCGCTTGCTAGGGACTCAAGAAACCAAATTTTTTGTAAAAGGGTCTGTGGAAGAAACTGCGTGATGAGGTCTGTTCGGCCGTAGTTTTCACAACAGGATCCGGTTCAAATGTGAAGCTGATTGATGCGGAAGGGGAAATGAGAAATTCGGGTTATCCATACTCACGACACAGACCGAGCCGAAAGTGACGTAGCAAAAAAAAACAGCTAAAATGAGTTTCACTCAATATAGTTGAAATGAGTTCCACTCACCCCGTGGTGATCGGCATGCATATGTGTGATCAAAATGAGCCGCAGTCGTCGCAAGATATTTGCAGCTCCATCGGCACCGTGCAGCGCGCAAAGCTGATTCAAGCTGCCCTCACCGCAGTCCAACATGATGTAGTCGTCCGGGCTAGTGACGCAAAAGCAATAGCATATGGTCAGTTCCAGGAATACGGGCACTTAGGGGCAGTTGTGGAAAGTGAACTAGGCTTCGTAGACAAGATCAGCTGGACGACCTGGTTTGGATCTCACTACAGGCGTCTTGTTATTTCAGCAACAATGACATGAAGAGTAGGAAATAACGGTCACTGGCACAAAGGAGCAAACATTCACGTTCGCACGTCTAATGAGTAAATACGAAGCCGGAATTTGCGGGTAGACAGGACTTTCGCGCATCACTGGTTTTAACGTGTCTGTCACTAGGACAGATATTGACGGTTTCGTACTGCTTAGCGCTAGAACGGTACGATTAGGAGCGCAAAGTCGAGTATCTACAGTAGTCTCGTTTTCAACGGTTCCACTCCCATCCGGGTAGGATTATTCAGAGTCGTCCACATGAAAAAGGTCACTAAGGTAGCAGAACAACCAAATGGAAACGTAGATACTGAATTCCCTTTATTCATTTCGACCACCCCAGATGGGGATAAGCTGGATTTGTAGATGTCACCTGTGAGAGTTTACTCTTTGGGAAAAAATACTACACATCAGAGTTTTGAGCATAATTCAATCACCCTTGGACTCACGGAAAACAGTTTGCCCTGGTATGTACACTGCTCACTTTCAAAAGGAAGAACATGACATTCTTTAGTTCCGAAACAAGCAGACAGTATAAGCGTCCAGTAAGACAGTCCGGTAGAAGCCACTTGTCAGGACTTGAGAGCATGCTTTTAGATTGCAGAGTAAATTTATAACGCGCGAGTTAGGTTCACCGACTAAGTTTATTTTTATGCAAGTGCGCGGTTCGGCTGTAGGTGCCCAACGGGATCTTCCATTTGTAGACTTTGTTGGCCAATCTGGGTAGCGAGGTAGGAAAAGTGTTCTCCGGAGCGACTTGATAGGTACCTTTCCGTTCTATCCACGTACTTGAACCATGAAACCGCCAGTCTAGAAATACACATACGCCTTATGAGTTTTACTACTCTTAACTATGAGAAAACCCGGTGCGCATGTCCACCAACAGGGTGTATAGGATGTAATCCTTAGACAGCAATAAACAACGGAAGAACCAGAAAGAGAGGGGACATCCAGTTAATTTTTTCGAAAAATATCTCTTTGTGGTCCTATCAAGGGTAGAAATGGCCTCGGTGCTGAAGAAGAAAGTGTATATCCACTTGGAATTCCGGGACGATGTTTAGAACTATAAAATAGTAGACGAAAGATTGTAGTACAACGCACACTTCCTGCAGTCTAAGTAGTCTGTTTGGCCAACACAACCATTGTCATCAGTTAAGGATAGTCTTACTATTCCGCCCATCTCAAATTGTTTACAAATATGAATGAACGCGTGAAAACCCAACAGTTCGCATCGCAGAACACTGCATAATCGCCGTCCAGATCAGTCAGTGTTTAGAGCGCGAATTTACTCACCGGGAGGTACGTGGTTCGAAACCGATCTCAGCCTCCAGACTT